CTAATATAGCCCCTTCCCTACCCTTGAAACCTCTCGATTTCTCCTCGCCCAGCCCCGAATCAGGATTTTTGAGAGTGGAGGAGGAATGATTTGGAGGTTTTAGAGGTACGAGATGGGTTATTCTAGGGTTTCGTGGGCTTCGGGACTGTGGTTAGGGATAAGGAGGAAAGGCGACAGTGTGCATCGCGGTGGCTGGGGTCGTACCAAAGGAGAGAGAAAAATTGATGGCTGCTTTGGGGATGGATAGGGGATGTAATAGTGGTAGTCACGAGGGGAGAGGCTTAGTGACGTCCAGGGGAAAGGGTTAGCCGGTTGTCGGGGAGGGGAGGGGGTTGGCAGTGAGGTTTCATGGCAGCGTTGATGGGGAAAGGGAGGTTGGACGGTGCCACTGTGGCAATGAGGGTAGCTAAAGATGGAGCGGTGGCAGTGAGGTGACTAGGGTTGCTGGAAGGCGGCAATGAGGTGGTTGGACGGTGGTTGGGCCCCACTACCAAAAACAGTAACGACATAAGGCAACAGGTAGTGATATCTATAATTTTGGGATTTGGGTGGTAGTAAAATTAAAAATAAAAAATTCAACATACAGTAAATGTGAAGCAAGGTGCTTTCGCTGGTAGCAAATGTTAAAATTTTCTAAAATAAATTAAAGTAACATTTTTGGGAATGAATACGTGTAATACCCCGTATTTTTATACGTATTTTATTTAATATACATACATTTATACGTATTTTATTTAATATATATATTTTATAAGGGTATTTAAATAACTCTAGCATTTTAATTATGATGTTTTAATTATTTATCCCATGTAAATTGGGAATATTTTACAAAAGGAAAGGTCGTTTAATTAATTAATAGAAGTTGGGGTTTTATTTTAAGAAATTATGATTTTTTTTAACAAGTTTTAGTAGGGAAGGGATTAGGAAAAACTAAAGCAGGAAAGTTTAGGGTAAAAGGGGAGATAGAGAAGGGGTATAAATATCCCTCTTATGAGGCAATTCAACGTTGCTCAGAGTGGAGAAAACCCAAGGTAAACTTCTCTCCCTTTTCTCTTTATTTTTTTCTCTTTCTTTTTTTCTTTCTCTCTCCTTCCCTTCCCCTCTTGCCGCACACACCACCACCGGCATCCACCACCACCGGTGGGCCGCCGGCCACTAGCACCAGCCGGCAGCAGCGGCGACCACCAGCAGTGGCGCCGGCCCCCTGCTGTCGGCAGCCCCGTTTTTCAAAAAGGAAAAAAAAAAAGGTTTTCTTTTTAAAAATCAAATCTTTATTACCCAAAACTAATCTATGCTATAGTCTAATTATAAATTATGAGTTTGGAGGTTTAATTTTGATGTTTGGTTATTGTAATTGTGTTAATTAATTTTCAGATTTGGTTTTTAATTAAAAAGCCCCAATTTTTGAAACCCTAGGTTCTTGACTCATGATTTATTGAAAGATTATGATGTATAATAGGGTAGGCCTTTGTTTTAAGTGTTTTAAAACCTAATTACAGCAAGTTTTAATTATAATAAAGTGCTGGAATTTTATGTAGAACACTTGATATTAGGTTTCTTGAAGAAATTTTAATTATCCATTAATTGGGACTTAATTTATGGTTTTTTAAATATAATTTCAGCTTATTCTAATTAAATTATGAAGGGTTTTAAAATAGTATATATTGCTGGAAATTTGTTTAGAGTGGATATTAATACTCTATTATGGATTTAATGTGTAGGAGACTTTGAAGTAAGCGATTTCTACTAGTCGTGGCAGTTTTAATAACGTACTCAAGGTACGTTCGCGTACTTAGCATATTTTGACGATGTAGAATCATACTAGGCTTGATTTCAATCAATTACAAGTAGTATCATGCTAAGGTTTATGTATGGAATTGTGAATTTATGGTGTTGGTGATTGAATTGTGAAGCATGAATTATTTGTGATGGTTTATGGTTGGAAAATAATATTTTGGGCATGTTGTGTTTGAACCACACTTTTATTTATGGCATGTTAGAATGCATAATTAATTAAACTACATGTTTAATTATGTTTGGAATATTGAAAAGGAATTTTATTATGGTTCAAATATTTTTATTGATGCTTTAAGCATGAGGAAGGAGCTATATAAGTGTCTATGTACACAAGGAATAAATAGTATGTTGGTGCCTTTGTGCACTTAAGGTGTTTTTAACACCGAGGGATAAGATTTTTGGCGCATTATGCGTTTAAGGTGTCTTTGACACCGAGGTAGAATTAAAAATGATTCAACAATAAATAATATGTGGTCACTAATTATTCAAGAATTAAATTGGTATGTTTGTTTGATTGTATAATTATTGTTGATTGACTTATTATGCTTTGAGAGTCATCACCAAGTTTAATAATATGTAAATAACGTAAAGTGAAAGAGATTACGCACCAAAAACTCTTGGAACGTATATACCTTGAGTATGAACAATGGGGGGAGTTATGGGGTTTTATATTTAACCATAACTTCTAATGGAGTACAGGACGCTGTATATTCCTTTTTTATTATTTATTATTATGCGCAGGAATTCCACCACCTTTGTGTGGTTTTGTCGCTGGCACGGTTAGCTCCCGTGCCAGTTAACCTCAAATTTATTTGGGGGAGGTTAGGAGGTGGAAACCCGTTCGATGCGTAATCAATGCAAAATGAATTAATTAGTGTCTAGTCATTATGTTATGTTGATTAGTGTGTTTGTAAACAGGTGCAATGAGGTAAGTGTGTGTTGATAGGTGAAAGCATGTTAGTGTGGCTAATTTACGCTTATGTACTCAGCTTTGCTGATTGTGTGTGTTTGTGTTTTTGGCCATGTCTTTATCTTGGCCCTATGATGACCCATTTTTAATGAAGAGTAGTGGAAACAAGTAGAGATAAACATTTCAGGTATTGAAGCATGATCATGATGGGGCATGAGTGAAAAGTGAATCCTACTAGTTTTCATTAGATTACAATGTGTTTATTGCTTTATTTATTTATGATATACTATGTGTGGACTAACATAAAGGTTTGATTTGGGAACGGTTTTTGAATAAGGGCCTTTAATGGTCCAAGTTGTAATTTGATTTTATTTGACTTGTTCGTTTGGTTTTAAACTTTATTTTCGTTTGGTTTTAAACTTTATTTTCGTTTGGTTGACTTTGGGTTGACTTGTTTAATCGGTTTTTAATTTTGAGTCTTCCGCTGTGTATCTTTGATAATTGCCTTAGCCGTTTTCACGGTGGCGGTAATGTCTTAGTTATTCCTAAATCGTATTTTTAAAAGAGTAGAATGGGTATTTAAAGGAAAGGAATTTCTAGGGTGTTACAATACGATATAAAGTAAAGAATATTTGCGAGTGGGGCTAGTGATATGGAAGAGTAACAAATATAAATCTTCACAATAACAATGAACCCATGCTAAAATGGAATCAACAGTAAACATTTCAAAAATGGATGAAAATTGCAAAGTCCAAAGTGTTACAAACATTTATAAATAAAGCGCGAAAGAGTTATGAATATTTTAAATAATGGTTGTTTGAAATATAATTATCACATATACTTTAATGATTATGTAGTCCATAATTGATTTATTTTCTTTTCGGAAAAAAGGTCAAAAATAATACAAACTTTGAGCGGTGCGTAAAAATTAGTCAATCTTTTAATTATTTCCGAATAATACAAACTTTGAGGGGTATCCGTTTTAAATAAGTTAAAATTGGTTAGTTACTTGTTGATCATGTTATATGGAATACATGTTATTGTATTATTTTTTTTAAAATGTCAAACAAGTTTATAAGATAATTTAAAAAATTAATCGGTCAAATAAGTTGTAGGTAAAATAACTCGTCTAAAGCAGATGTCCCTTAAAGTTTGTATTATTCAGAAATAATTAAAATATTGACTTGTTTTTAGCGGACTGCTCAAAATTTGTATTATTTTTGACAATTTTTCCTTTTCTCAAATTATAAAGCATATTTCTTTATTTTTGGTACATAAGAATATCATCAACATTTTTAATTTATTCAATATTTGGTTTAATTTATGTAATTTTTATTTTTAATTTGTAATTTCTCGAAAAATATATTTTTTTTTAATGCTGGATTATGATATTCAAAAATAATATTCGTATTGTAGGTATTAAAAGTCTAATTGTCTTCATATTATAATGTAAAGAAAAAAAAATAGACGATCATATTACTCCTCCGTGTTTTTTTAAGTGTTACAGTTTGACCGGCATATAGTTTTAGGCAATTTAATTGACTTAAATAAAATAAGAGGTAAGTGGGGTAGTTGGAGTATTAAAAAATTGTAATAGAAAGATAGTGAGGTTAATAGTTTATTGAAAAATAATGAATGTGAAAGGAAATATATAATAAAAAAGTAATAGTGGTTTTGGGTGGGGACCGTGAGAGGAGAGAGATATAATAGTTTAATGTAGCTTTTAGCCAAAAAAAAGAAGCGTAACACTTAATAAAAACCAAAACTTTTGTATACATCCGGTTTATACTAATATTAGTGTACATCGAGCCGTATAAGGGTAACTTTTAGCCAATTTTAGGGTAACTTTTTGTCTTTTTTGGGTAACTCTAAACATAATACAATTTTTATATAAATCAACAACAAGAAAAGTTTTATAGAGGTAATTTAATTACATTCAATCACTAATAATTGATTTTTAGTCATTTAAAATGTGATTCGTTACTAATAAAGCGTAGATAATTTTTATTTGAATTGGGTTACTTTAACGCATATTGGGGTAACTTTTATTCATTTCAGGGGTAATTTTTAATCAATTTAGGTTATCTTTATAATGGATGTACAATAATTATTGTACACCCGATTTTTTTAAAAGTTTGTGAAAAAAAAAGTCGAAAATGAGAAGTGTAACACTTAAAAAAAACACAGAGGAAGTATTGTTTTATAATTAAGATAATATGGTAGTCATATTTCAAACAACCAGTATAAAGACATCTTAAAAATAGGAATTCAACGAAGGTGCTAGGAAACTTACAAGATGCCGATGAAGATAACTTGCAGGTGTAGAAGGTCAATTCAGAAACGAATACCAAGTGTTTCCTCCAATCATTTGCAAATATTCTTGCAAAGAAGAGTCTGCAAACTTTGTGGTTAGATTTAGACAAGTCCCGGAGCATAACAGTAGCCCAAGTAGGACGATCGAATAGAGCTAATAAGCTATAAATCACGTCTTTCAGTTTGTCCCTTATTCGTACGCAGTCGTAACACCTTATTTCTAACCATAACATATCAATCTTCTTCTTACAACTTCCATCGGTTTGAATTTCTACAGCTGAAGACGGACGCCAAAGGAAATTTGTCAAGAACAACAAAAAAGAATGATTATTGACGGATGATAATTCCCTCTTAATCTTGATAAATAGAACATAATCTAGCAAATTACTTTGGCAAATTTTAAGACACTTTGACTTGTTCCAATTCATGCTGTCTCTCTTTTGTTTCTGACTTTTGTTCTGTTTATGGCATCCAGTATTGCAAGCAATAGCCCATTATATATACACAAGTATTGAAGTGTATTCATAATTACATAAAGTGACACGTTAATTATGAAAGGGATACAACTTGTTTTTTAAACGAAAAGGGGACAAAAATAGTAGTCGTTAAATTTTTTTTTTTTTTTTTGGTAAAACCCCTTACCTTGAATGAAGATCAGTTCATATTATACCTTGAATTAGGAATTTAGGACCCTTAGCTCTATTCTAGCTTTCTTCAAAATTTGAAATGTCTTTTGTTATTTGAACCTTCTACCAAGCCATGTTTGGTAATTGGCTTTTTAATGGATTTTTTGTTAGCTTTTGGCTTTTGACTTTTTTAGGTGGTCAAATAGCCAAAAAATGTGTTTGGTAATTGGCTTTTTAGTCAGCGAAAAAGTTGGCTTTTAAGCCAAAATGAAAAAGTTGTTTTGAGTAACTTTTTTGTTGGCTTTTGGCTTGTTGGCCCACAAATTATCTAATAATCAGCCAACAACCAACAATTAATTTACCAAACACTTTTATAAACAGCCAGCTTAAACAACCAATTTCAAAAACCATTATAAACAGCCAAACATTCCAACCGGTCAAACAAGCCAAGTGAACCAGCCAACAACCAACCTCCAACAGCCATTTGCCAAACAAGGCCTTAGTGTGTCTTGTGTCTGGCTTGTGACCGCCTGTAAAATTACAAAGTAACCCCTATAACTATGACTAAGTAACCTCAGCTGATCGAGTAACTCCTATAAATAACACTGATAGTGTAACTCCAATAATATTAATCGAGTAACCCTTGTAACACTGACTAAGTAACGAACTCCTATAAAGCTATCGAAGTAACCTCATATTGGCTAGCCACACGATATGACCAACCACAGATAGCCCTTGTAACACTGACTAAGTTGTCTAAGTAACCCCTATAACACTATTGATGTAAACCCGTGATGATTGGCCACACGATGTGGCCAGTAGTTAACACTAAAATATATCAATTCAAATTATTGTTATTGTTAACTGGCCACATCGTGTGGTCAGTTATCATAGGGGGTTATTTCATTAGTGTTACTAATATTACTAAGTAAGAGTTACAAGGGTTACTTCGTTAATATTATAGGTATTAGTCAATTAGTGTTATAAGGGTTAATTACTTAGTCAGTGTTATAAATGTTACTCAGTAAGAGTTATAGGGGCTACTATGTTAGTGTTATAGGTATTAGTTGGTCAGTGTTATAAAGGTGGTTACTCAGTTAATATTACTCTAAGGGTTTTTTTTATTTATTTACAAGTAGTAACATAATTTAGTCATCCAAACACGACACAATGATATTATTATTATTATTATATGCATTACCACTTGAAAAAAAGTTGAAAAAAGTAAATGATTCTTGGAAAATAAATTTGCTTATTTCTGTAAAAAAAAAAAAAAAAAGAAAAAAAAAAGCTTATTATGCCGCAATAGCATCGAATTAATTTATAACTAAAATATGATGTATCGATGCTTAAAGAAATACTTAAGAGCTCGTTGTCAAAAAAAAAAAAAAAAAAAAACAAAACAAAAAAAAAAAAAAAAGAAATACTTAAGAGCTAGCTGTAATATTGTCATATATGGAGTATATACTTCTTTAGTTCTTTATTTATTAATTGCAATATTTGAATTTGAAAATAACATACTTTACTATTTAAATATTTACATATGATATGATTTCTCTTTCTCTTGTCGTTAAAAAAATTGACAGCAGAATTATGTTAGTCCAAGAAAATACAAATTGAACCTCTTTAAAACTTAGGCCCTGTTTGATTCACCTTTAAAAAATAATATTAAGTAAAAATAATTTCAATTCAGTAAAAATAAGTTTAGTTCAGTAAAATTAATTTCAGTTCAGTAAAAATAATTTCAGTTCAGTAAAAATAAGTTCTGTTCAGTAAAATTCAGTTTTCTTAAAGAAGAATTATAATAGAATATCAGTAAAAATAATTTCAATTCAGTAAAAATAATATAAGTTCAGTAAAAATAATTTCAGTTCAGTAAAATTAAGTTCAGTTCAGTAAAAATAAGTTCAATTCAGTAAAAATAATTTCAATTTAGCAAAATTAAGGTGAATCAAACAGGGCCTTAGAATATGGTTGGGTACTTATTCGTTAATGAACCCCTTGAACAATATTTAATCTTATAATGCCGACAAAATTGACGCATTCACCTCCATGATTTATCCATGACACGCAACACAACTTGACTTTGCCAACAAATTTTAGCATTTTGTAAATTGAGTGGTTGTGTTACGTCACTTGATTTGCATCATGCCAAGGAAAGTTATACATTTCTTTATTGAAGTTATGAGCTAATTACCCCTTATTTAATAGTACCCGTTTTATAATAATAGCAACACTTTGACTTTTGAACTATTTATTTACTTATTTCAACTGCACATTTTACCAATATATAAAAAACATATATTGGCATATAAAATACTTTTGGATTGGTCTTTAAGTATATTTTTATTATGTTAACCTTTTACACTTCTTAATAATATATAATTACAAATATTGATGCTCAAAGTTGTGCATTGACATAGTGTATCGATTAAAGAGTTGTAATTATTATGAAATGGGGATATATCGGTAAAACATGCATTTTTTAGCTTGGATGAAATATTTCGTTAACTTGATTAAATTTCTGAATGATGTCATCAGTTTATAGGGTGATATGATTAATTATCGGATAAGATTTGTGGTTATATAAGCTTGATAGTATACTAGATTAATCCCGTGCGATGCACACATAAAAAAAATTCTTTGAAATATATACCTTATGTGAGAAAAATTATAGAAACATAATCATTAATTACAAAGGTATTTAGATCTAAATAATTTTTAAATTCAGTAAAAATTTAAGCAAAATATACAATACGAACTATACTCTTTATCTAGGAGTAACTATATTTAGAGCCATATAGTTTTTCGTAAATCCATAATACTGTAAAAAAAAATATAGAGTACAACATAATATAATAATTGTCTTCAGAAAATATAAATTTCACATAATATAATATTTAAGGTAAAAATAATAAAGATTATGATATCAGCAATTGATTTAGGGCATGTTCATATTTACTGAACTGAACTGTACTGATTGGAGCTGAACTGAACTGAATTGAACTGAACTGATAAAAGCTGAACTGAACTGAAATGAATATTTTATGAGAGAGGGAAATTAGGAACTGAACTGAATTGATTGGAGCTGAACTGAACTGAACTGAACTGATTAGAGCTGAACTGAACTGAACTGATTAGAGCTGAACTGAACTAAAATTAAGTAAATGTGAACATGCCCTTAGGCGGGAAAATTTTTAACCACAACTTAACATATGTACAATTTGAAAAGAGAATAATGTAAGCGGTTGTTACTTTACTAATATTTATTTATCGGCATTTATAGATTTATTATTATTATTATTTTTTTATTTTGTTCTTATCATGTAGGATAATATCATTCATCGTCTTGATGATATTAGTAGTCGTGGAAACTTTTGTATATTCTTTAGTATGTATATGCATGCTTATTGATATTTCTCCCTCCGTACCAAATTAATTGACACATTGGACGTTTTTTACTATTCATAAATTAGTTTTGACTATAAACTTTTACTAACATAATAAAGAAAAAAAATTGACAAAATGCTAAAAGGTATTTGCAATTTTTTTTTTAAAATGATCTTTTGCAACATTTTTTTTAAAAAGGTTATATAAAAAAAATAATAAATAAATAAAAAGTGATTATATGCAAAATTTCCTTTCAATTAAAAATTATTCATTTTGACAGCATATATATGTACAAGTACATCCTTTATTTTTGTACCCTTAAAGTTCTATATTAATAATAATAGCACGAATATTAAACTAGATTTTTTCTTAGAATAAAATCCAAAATAAGCGCTTATTAACATTTTTCAAGCGATGACTACCTCTACTAAGATCACTACCTTGCCCAATCAATAAACCTATACTAAAGGCGAATCAAAATAATTTCCCGCTTAATTTTACTTTCCAATTTTTAATTATGATAATATATTTGAATTAATAAGTTAAATAAAGATCTTACTACTATCCATGTAGAGCCTGTCAAAAGTTAACCCGACCCGAAATACCAACCCGTCTGAACCTGAAAAAAATGGTGACCCGAACCCGACCTGAAACCAACCCTGGACCCGAGCTGACCCAAGTATTTAAGACCCAAACCCGAACATTAACCGACCTAGAGATGACCCTACCCAAATGTAACCCGTAAATTATTATTTACTGACCTGAACCGATCCTGACCTAACCGCAAATTGACCCAAACCCGTTTTAACTCGTGAAAACCTGAATTCAACCCGACATGTTCCTAATCCGATCCGAATTCAACCCGACTCGAATTTCAACCCGACCTGTTACAAATCCGACCCGAATCAACCCGACTTGTTATTGACCTGACCCAAATTCAACCCGACTTGTTATTGAATCAATATGTATAGGTCATTATCTCATGTTGGTATTGGAACGGAAATTGAATCCGAACTCTATTCCTTCAATATTTTACTTTGAATTTTAAGAGGTTAGTTTCACAACATGTTTTTAGGGACGAAACATGTTTTCCGCAAATTATTGACTTGAACCGAACCCGACTCGAACCCGAGAATGACCCAACTTGGAAATGACTTGACTTGATTATAACTCGCAAATTATTGACTTGAACCGAACCCGAGAATGATCCGACCTGATTATAACTCATAAACAATTGACTTGAACCGAACCCGACTCGAACCCGAGAACGACCCTAACTCGTTTAAACCCGTAAAGACCCGAATTTAACCCGACCTATTTTTCACACGACCCGAATGTAACCCGACCTTTTACTAACCCGAACTAAACCCGACAAGATGTATGACCCGACGTGACCCGAACCCAACCCGGATATGTTATGACATTAACCCGTATTGACCCGACCCGAGATGACCAGACTCACACTAACCTAACTCAAACCCGACCCGTTTATCCAAATTGACAGCTCTATATCCATGCATGCACGGGATTTATACTAGTAATTAATATAAGTAATGAGATCAATCAATATTATACTATGGTTGATTGGTGGCCAATCATTAATAC